AATACATACTTACTGGAAAGCCCAGTTGACCCACCTGAGGCTATAGCAACCAAAACAGAACAGCAATCTACAGACACCAATTACTGAGTTGAGTATAAGGAGACCAGGGGAAGGTCTGATGATGATGGGGTGGGACGGGAATCTATGAAACGAAAAATAACCTACAAATTCTCCTTCCCAGGACAAATACCAGTACAGAAAAGAAAGCACTAGAGACAGAATCCATACTGAGCAGGACAAAACAGTTGGGGCAAAGGAAAGAGAAGATACAGAAAACTTAAAACATGATGAAACAAGTCCTGGAACAAAAGGAAAATACCAAGTAAAATTGGAGAATTAAAAAATAATAATAATGAAAAAATACTAATAGCTAAAATATGATCTATCAGAATACTTGGTCCAAATGTTTTTATCAGAGGACATTTTATAGCATTTGATTTTGAAGACAAACATATAACTCAAGAAAGTGGTACCAAAAAAAAAAAAAACCCTGAATTAACTAAAACAGAAGAAATTAGTGATTAAAAAAGAAAATTAAAAGTTGGAAAATAGTAAAACTCACCAATCCAATAGCCAGTTGTATGAAACAGAAAAAAGTCACTAATTAACAGGCCTAAAGGACAAATGAAGTGAACAAACACTCTTCGAGGCAAAACAATCTTCAAAAGTGAGAAAAAACTTCAATATCATAAGTTCACTTTGTACATCTATGAAATACTTTTAAAAATCTGAATGAAATGGATGGGTTTTTCTTTTATAAAAAACCTAACAGTAAGTCTAATAAGTTAAAAACTTAAAGAGATCAGTTCCCAGAAAAGCGACAGAGAAAATTGTGGAGTAGAGAGCTATTCCACAGGAAACAAACAAACAAACAAACAAACTAAAACAACCAAAAAACCAAAAAACCAAAGGCACTAAATCTGAAGATGTTCACAGGAAGTTGTTTCTCAGGTAATGAAAATGTTAAACTATTCCAGAAAAAATTAAGCAAACTTTCACATTTGTTATATGGGGAAATCTATGATCTGTTCTCCAAACCTGACCAAGACAGCATCAAAACATACAAAACTACAGACTCTTCTTGCTTATAAAAATGACGTAACAATCAAAGTGAAATGTTAGCAAACAAAATACAGTGGCATAGTAAAAAATAAAACACACTTTTTTTAAACAACACTTTTATTTTTTAAAGATTTTGTTTATTTATTCATGAGAGACAAGGAGAGAGAGAGAGGGAGGCAGAGACCCAGGCCGAGGGAGAAGCAGGCCCCATGCAGGAAGCCCGATGTGGGACTCCATCCCGGGTCCCCAGGATCACGCCCTGGGCTGAAGGCGGCGCTAAACCGCTGAGCCACTCAAGCTGCCCAAACACACTTATTTATTATTTAGGTTATTAGGATCTTGGTAAAATAAACCATATAAAGTGGCAAGAATAAAATCTCGCACAAAGTCAATGTGCAACCACTGTGAGTCATGACTCTTAGTAGTCACAGATTTGACAAGTGAGTTTATTAAAGAAGATGAGGAAGAAATCAAGGAATATCAATGCTTAACCAGCCACTAGAGAACAAAGTTGGAAAATTCGTATTTCCCAACCTCAAAAGTCACTACAAAGCTACAGTAAACAAGTCTGTGTGGTACTGGCATAAGGATAGACATAAATCGATGAGAGAGAATTGAGAGTCAGAAAATGAACCCTTACATTTATGGTCAATTTACTTTCGAGAAGGATACCAAGACAATCCAATGAGGAAAGAATGTTCTTCCTGACAAATGACACTGGGAAAGGTGGACTTCCACAAGCAGAAGAAAGAAGTTGGTCCCCTAGGGCCACTATATACAAAAACCGACTCAGGATGTACCAAATACCTAAATGTAAAGAGCTAAAACTATAAAGCTTTTGGTCACAGTTTCGTGACCTTGGATCAGGCAATGGCTTCTTAAAGATATCCAAAGCATAAGCTACCAAAGAAAAAGAGAGAAATTTAACTAGGTCAAAATTTAAAAAATTGAGCTTTGAGATACCCGGGTGGTTCAGTGGTTGAGCATCTGCCTTCTGCTTGGGTCGTGATCCCCAGGTCCCGGGATGGAGTCCTGCACCCGGCTCCCTTCAAGGAGCCTGCTTCTCCCTCTGCCTATGTCTCTGCTTCTCTGTGTGTCTCTCATGAGTAAATAAGTAAAATCTTAAAAAAATAATAAAAAATAAAATACAATCGAAATAAACAAACAAAACTTGAGCTTCAAAGTGCACTACCAAGAAAGTGAAAAAACCCACATGCTAGGTGAAAATATTTGCAAACCATGATCTGTTAGGTCTAGTGTACAGAATATAAAAACGCCTACAACTCTACAATTAAAAATAATAACTCAATGTATAAAGGGGCAAATAATTTTTCCCCCAACTTCTCAATAGCCAAATATCTTTTATTGGTACTATTATCAAGCTTATAATTTGCAGAATAGACACAAGAATAGGAAAAATTCCACAAAATAGTGAGAGAAAACAATATGTCAGGACCCTCCCACCCATTCATTCTCTGTGAAAAAATCCACAGGGAGAAAATGATCCCTCCTGTACTACAGATGATGATGATGTCAAGGTCTCTCCAGGCCTTCTGATTTGGGCCCCTGCCAAGTTCCTCACCCATGGGTGCCATCCATGCTTTCCTGCCTGACCACAGTCATGATAAACTGTCACACCTCAACAAAGCCCAGCGCACTTCAGCTCCACTTTCCCCACCATCACCACCGCTCCTGTGCTCTGTGGGCCCCTCTTGCATCAGCCTCCTGTCCTGGGCACCCAGCAGCTGTGAAAGCTGTGGGAGGCCCACTATGGGTGCCAGGGTCAGAGATGTGCCCAGCAGTGGTAGGAATGTGGGGATGGAGTGAGTTGGGAAGCACATCTGGGCATCCCAGCCAGCATCTGGGCACTCCCCCTCCAGCTCTGGATCAGCCCCTTGGCTCCACACCTTCAGGGAAGAAGGTAGTGGGCAGGAGATCAACAGGGACCCCAGTGAGTGGTCTGGTGCCATCCCCCACTCACCCAAGGGGCAAATAACTTGAACAGGAGTTTCTCCAAATCAGGTCTACTGATTTGGTCTACTCCAAAATGACTACTGAGCACATGAAAAGACAGTCAACGTAATTAGTCATTAGGGATTTACCAACCCAAACCACGACGGATGGCACTTCTCGCCCACCAGAATGCCTTAGACCAAAAAGATGGGCAATAGCAAGTGCTGCGGAAGACGTAGAGAAATCTCAACCTTCATACACTGCTGGTGGGAAAGAAAGTTGGTGTAGGCATTTTGGAAAACATTTAGCAGTTCCTCACAGAGTTAAACCTAGAGTTCCATACGGCACAGAAATTAACTTTCTAGATATACACACAAGAGAACTGAAGACATATGTGCACAAAAGCCTGTACACATATGGTCACAACAGTATCATTCATATTAACCGAAGGTGGAAACAACTCAAGCGTCCAACAGCTTATGAATGGATAAACAAAATGTGGTCTAGCCGGACAACCGAATCTTATCCAACCATAATAAGTAAGGAAATACTGATCTGTTACAACATAGGCAAACCTCAAAAACATTAAGCGAAAGAAGCCAGACCCCAAAGGCCTCCTATTGTAGGATTCAGCTTATATGAAACGCCCAGAATGAGTCAATCCTTAGAAACAGAAGGTAGATCAGTGTTGCCGGGAGCTCGAGGAAGCGGTTAATTGGGATTGACTACTAATGGTTATGGGACGTCTTTGAGGGGTAATGCAAGTATTCTGGAATTAGACAGTTGTACAGTTTTGCGGATATACCAAAACCACTGAATTGTACATTTATAAAAATGGAATTTCATAGTATGTAGGTTATAGCTCAACAAAATAAATAAAATCCAGCAGACCACAAAAAGCTGGAAAAAGGATTAAAAGAGAATTGTCAAAAATTTAGTGAATTTTTAGTAACTCTAGAATCCAGGTGGTAGGTGAATGGTTGTACCCTCTACAAGTCCTTTGACCTTTTCTTTTTGTTTTAAAATTCTTACCAGAAAATGTTTGTGAAGTAATTGAACAGAAATAATAATAATAATAATAATAATAATAATAATAGAATGAAAATAAACGTGAAACTGTTCATCAGGGTCAGTGCCACAGAGAGACTTCAAGGAATTTAAAATTAGGAAGAGAACTTTTTGCAAAGCAGACTCAATGCACAGACTCTGTACTATGCATGAGGATTAGACAGGGGAGAAGCTGGAGACCCTGAGCACAGGCTGCTGAACTTGGCCTGGAGCCTTGTTTCCGTGGTATTAATTCATCTTCAAACGAGACCCCCATAAAACGGTCCCCGATCTGGTTGCTGACTCCTATTCCCATCCTACCTTCATCCTCTCCTTTCTCATTTTCTAAGTTATTCTTTCAGTATCTTAACTATGTTGTTTTTTTAAAAATTTTGTTTATTTATTCATGAGAGACACAGAGAGAGGCAGAGACATAGAGGGAGAAGCAGGCTCCTTGCAGGGAGCCCGATGCAGGACTCGATCCCAGAATCCTGGGATCGCGACCTGAGCCAAAGGCAGATGCTCAACCCCTGAGCCACCAGGTGCCCCATTAGCTATGCTTTGTATCACTACAAATATCATGTATTTTAGTGATTTGCATATGTGTCTTTCACTCCTAAAAGACAGGTCCTCAAGGGCTGATGTCATTTCCTCTTGATATGTGAATCTGTCCTTCCAGGTCTAGTCTTGCTTCTGCCACCTTGTTGGTACTAAAGAAAAACAGTGTTTGAGAATAAGCCTATCTAACAGGAGCCAATCAACGGTATTAACAAGAGTGAATCAAAATTAATTTAAAGTGCAGAATCAAAAAAAATAATAATAAAGTGCAGAATCGGGGAGATTATGCAATGTGCTTCTAAAAATGACAGTAATGATATGGCCAGTAATAACATTAATATTATTTCTGTTGAAATACAAACTGATGACAAGTGGAAAAAAATAATTTATTGAAGATTCTCTTACACATGAACGTGGAACATTTATACATATACAGATGTGCTGATACGAAATGCTAAATTTAGAGACAAACATTTTTACACAAAAGTAGTTGCACTATATTTTATAAAGGTAGGTATAAATAAATTATCAGATATATTTAAGAGCGATAGGCCAATTATTCCAATAGGAATGCAGTCTACGTCAAAATTAAAGTAACTTTTCTGAACATGATGGCCTGGTTATAATCACATTCTTCCAAGCAAAGAAAAAGAAGCTCATTACTGGAAATAAAAAGCCAGAAATGGCTCTTTCAGGAGTATCCCAGCAGTGTCTTCAATTTTATTCTTGGATGTGGTCAGAGCGCCTAACATTTATCCCAAGCTAATGTAACAGCTCAGTGTGAAACAGTACAGCTTTTTTATAACAGCTGCATGTGGTTAATAAGATTTAATACAAACAACAGAATTTTAGAGGATATTATAATGCCACATAATTTGAGTGAGCCACCAAAGATTTTAGTAACAGAAATATGCACCCTACATTTTTGAAGGAAAACTAGCACAATTCAAAATAGTCACTATTTTCTTAGTATGGTATATTCATTCTTATTTTGGGAATCTGAAAATAAATTGCATTTTTTCCTAAAACAGAATTCACTCCTGTAGAAAACGATTTCTATAATGATGTACACCAACACGATATAAATTTTGTTATGTGTCATTATAGTCATTAAAATATACATGTACATATACACCGAACACCAAACAGACTCGGTAAGCCATGATATGATATATACACAGGACCAAATACTGTTCTGTGTCATTTAATTAAATTCAACAAATACTTATTGGGTGCCTACCACTTGCAGATTACCATGCTCGGCAACGCTTGTGGTAGATCTTAAGACGCATGAAGCTCACATCATTCACATCTAAAGCCAAATTTCAGGTAACATACTAAACCTTGAAAATAATCAGAAGCAGTGCTAAGGTTGAGTAATGAATCATGAAAGGTATACCTAGGAGAAAGGCTTGGGGTAACCGCGAAGGACAAAGCAAAATCTATCCACAGGGACTAATTGCTCCCAGGCTTGGCGTGTGACAGGGGACAACTGGAGCCCATTCTGCAGTCCTCTTCGTCCCACAGTCTAACATTCAATTATCATCCTGTGTTGTTTCCTTTGAAGAGTGGAATAAACAGGGATTCATTTTCAGGGGTAATAAAGCTTGTAGTATCCCCCCAAATATTCTCTTTTTTTTTCTTTTTACACAAAAATGTGATCGGCATTCATATCTGTTTTTCTGTCTTCCCACCATAATTCTGGGTGAAACAGTGCCACCCACCTAAAATGAGCAACACTTGAGGTAGAGTTTAACTTATCCGAAGAACATCTGTAAGCATGCCAACCCCACAAGTAAACTATTTAAAAAGAGCAGAAGGAAAATAAAGATAAATATTTTAAAACTTGGCATTCCATTCCTTTTAGGACTTATGCTGTACCGGCATTTTCAGGGCATGTATACATACGGAAAAAAGAAATATAATCAGTTAGTCTCACCCCTCTAAGGAACCAGCACATCAATAGGGGGACACAGTATCAAACTGGTTCCTGAAGCAGAACACTGTGCTTGGGATCCCAGGGGGCATAACCTTGGTGTGGACAAGCCAGTGCGAGTGGGGATCCAGTGCAGAGGGCCAGTGTCTGAGGTCTACTCTAGCACATGCGTCCCAGCTGGAGCATGACCATGGCGTTAGCACGAACCGGAGGCTCCCCTATGCAATCCTTTAGGTTCGGGAACATTCTAAGTCACTCCTTTCTAGGAAAAATGCATGAGGGACTAGGGCATCTAAAAATTGCCAAACATCCCACAGGGAGCTCGCGTGGCCCTTCGGAGGATCTGAAGCTCTGTGATTAAGAAACTTCTCATAAATTGTGGTCCTGACTCTGCTCAGATGGTGATCTCGGAACAGCTTAAGGAGCTAAGGGAAAAGGCCAGGGAGGCCCTCACAGCCCTCTCGCCTCAGCTGTGTTCGAGCCAGATCATGGAGGAAGAGCAAACAACAGGTCTTCCCCATCTGGTGCTTTTGGCTTTAATTTCATTAGAGGACAAAAGCTGGCAACCATAAAGTATCCCCTAAGAACTTTTTATTGTTCTAACTGGCTCATTAATGTTTCAGTATTTCTGCTGCTTTACTGGAGAGTTCATGTTTGTAAGCAAGAATTCTTTTCAAATGAAACATATTTTCAGCGATCATAATTTAGCTTTATTTATTTATTTATTTATTTATTTATTTATTTATCTTTAGCTCTCTCTATTCATATTCTATCTTTAAAAAAGAGGAATTACATGCTGATTAGTCATACCTCTGTTCCTGTATTTTTTCTGGATAGAAACCAAACTTGCATCGGTTCTTTTTTGCCCTTCATGGACACGGGGCCTCTGTGCTCCAAATGGAACTGCGGATCTGAATTTTCTGGTGTCATAAGACATCTAAAAGACAGGGGACAGGGAACAGGGAGAGACATATGGAATATGGTTGTATGGAGAAAGTGATATGAGCATGAAATTAGAGCTCAACACAGTAATGATCGACCCACAGTAAAGTTGTATTTAAAGATAATGCAAGGTTTTAGTAAGAACAGTCATACAGGGAATTCCTAAGGTGTTCTGAAATCATTAAAAGTGGGAATAATGGTCCATTCTTCTCAAATAAGAAAGAAACAATCCTAAGAGCATAAGTGATGGCTGTTTAAAAACACTGGGAGTTAAACCACACGTAAAGACACATTTTTCTTGCAAATCAGACATGTTTTCTTACCTGTATGTATATTCAGATACATTTATTTTTCCTTTTTCTCCAGTGGTTTCCGTTCTGCTTGTGAGGTTAACGGTATTTCCGAAAAGGCAATACCGAGGCATCCTCTGCCCTATGACACCAGTAACTACCTCTCCAGTGTGTATCCCTATTGTTATCTGCAGAAATCAAAACTTTGTTTTAGTAAGTTCGATCACCAAAATAATTATTTTTGATTACTTTATATTACAGAATGTAGGGTCACCATATAAAAATCATAAGGATTCGCTAAAAGAACTCCAAGTGTATTGCAGCGTACTTATAAAATAGAATTCTAAGCATATTCGTAAAAATAAAAAAACCCTCACAAAATCTGTTTTCCAAGGAAACATTTTTCTCAGTCTGAAGACCTCAAAGATGTGGATCTGGCAACTTAAATGAGACACAGGGAACAGATTTTAAAAAATAAATCAGAAAGGACAGGAAGTTTTATCTCATCCTCATGACTTCAGTATATAGAACAGACAGGTAATTTCAAACAGGTGGACAGATTTCCCATTTCTATGAAAAAAAAAAAAGTAATACAATTGGTTTGAAAAAGATTATTGTCTTTGCCCTCAAGGTGTTTTTCCTTATACATAATTAGTGATTGCTGGATAGAAAATGTGAGTCAGTTGTCCACAGAGGTCTACTACTACTATTATAATACCTGTTTTATTTACTAACCTGAACAGATTCGCCATCTACTTGAACCTGGCCAGCAATTTCCATCATGTCCAAGGCCAGGTGGCAAATGGATCGTGCATGGTGGATGCATGGCTCTGGTAAACCACTCACTGTCATGTACTTGTCACCAACTGTCTCCACCTAACACAGCACATACAATTTACGTGTTCATTGGTTAGAATAAACATTACCATTTCATTTGCTACCCATATATATAAATAATATTCTTGCAAAGCTACAAGTAGCTTTCAACTTTCCTTCTCTGAATTCTTTTAAAATTCTAACACATTCAACTCCAACAAGGTGAAATCTTGTGATTATTTGAAATCTACACACATGGCACTTGAGGTCTTTGATTACAGGCAGGTACAGACACAGCATTATTTTCTCCCTAGTAATGCCTGGTTTCTCACCTCAGATACCCTTATCATTCAATAGAACAATTGATTATCAAAATCTCCCTAAAATAATGATGATTTACGGCACAAGAGCCACTGCCCAAAGTCCAGTGATTTGTCATGCTCATTAACCATTTATATTTTGATGTGCTCACAAAGCATTATACTGTATCTCAGAAGACCACTATAAATAGTCCTTGCGGCACGCCTGTTACTCCAGATGCCTGGAGATGGTGTAGTTAACATTCTTGCTTTTATGAAGCAAGAATGCTCTGACTCCATTTTTCCAATGTAATATTTGTTTTTTAATTGAAACAAAGAGCAGAAATGCCTTATAAATGTTTATCTTCAAGTCAGAGTTATCTAAAAGCAAATCTGAGTCCCCAGCACCCTTCTCATGCTCTCTGACTTCTTTACTATGCAAAGCATTTATATATTTCGGTAAAACTGTCTCCTGCAGAGCACTAAAATGAATACTATGTTTATATTATGTGTGATAAACAACGGGTGCAAATTCATTGATGTAAGTGCAAATAACATTTGCTGAACATCTCATTTTTACTAGGGAATCATCAGTTCTATTTCTCTTGGTTACAAGCAAGGGAAAGTTTTATAACAAGAGCTAATTACTTAAGCAAATGATAAACAGTGACTGCGTGGAGGCTGTAGGGCTACCCTCCGAGAACGGACCCTCTGAGCCTAGGATCTCAAAATTCAGACTCTGAAGAGCACCGCCTTAGGGTATGACCTGGACTTGCCTTATAAACGAATGGATTTTTCCGAGAGTCGGTCAGTGTGTCAAATCTGGTGTAGAGGTCATTGAGGAGGTTTACAATCTTCATGGCCCCTTCTCCGGATGCATGCTTGCTGCAGAAAGCATTGAAGCCCACAATGCCACTGAAGAGGATGGTCACATTGTCGTATCTTTTGGCAGGCACCGGGCGTTTGTGTCTCAGCTCATTGGCAACAGATGGAGGGAGGACAGAATAAAGCAACCTATTAGGTGGGAAGGGGGAAAAGCCACAGTAAGAAATGCTGGGCATCGCCTCAGGGCCCCTACTGCCCACTTCACAGAGCTTTGAGGTGATGCACACTGCAAAAACCTGGTTTTCGTACAGGACACCCATTATTACCCATATGTGTGAGGCAGGTATCAAAAATACCATCATTTATTTGTTTTAATGACATACAACATCTCCAAATCCAAACCAAGCCAAACCAAATGGAAATAAGCCAAACAAACAAATAGGCATTGGGGGAAGCCTGGCAATTGGAAGTCAAAGTCTTCATCTGTGGTCCTGATTCTGACCCACGATTATGGCATCACAGTAGGAAAGCTGTCATCATTAGCACCTAAAACACTGTCTGAGTAGCCTAACATCAGGACCTTGTTTATCTCTTAGGAGTAAGAAGGCTACCTGAATTTGTGTAAATTATATTAAAAGAAGTAGATTTCTCTCTAGTCTCATTCATTCTTCCATGGAAGAAATTGATAAAACGGACGAAGACTGGGCTAGGCAAGGAAAGACTGTATTTCTATAGACACTACAGAGATTACTCTGATGGCTTCAGGGATTACACTGAGGGGCAAGGGTGCTAAGCACAACAGGAAGGGCATGATGGCGGAAGGAACTGACAAGAGAGAAGCAGAAATGAGGCCGATCGATGTCTCTTGGGGTGAGGACCCAGGGGAACAAGTGATGCCTCTCTGCCCTTTTCTTCCCCACAGCCATGGTGTATACCTGTGAAGTTTAACCTTGCAGACTTCATACAATGTGTTATTTTCATGGATGAAGTTGTACCACCTACCAGTAAAACATACCATCTGAATTGTTTTGCAAGCAGAGGGAGGAATTTGAGCTGGCTGCCCTCTACGCTTTCTGAAATCTGCAAAATGCCTGGATAGATGAAGGGGTCCATTTAGGGCCACAAGGAAAGGGATGAGAGCAGCTAAACATAGCTTTGAGCTTCTTTATACAAAAGTCAAGACAAGTGAATTAAGAAGCTATGGATAAAGATAGGCATTAAACGGCCTTTTCTACGTCATCCCCATTGTTAATGAATAGTTAACTGAGGTGTTTTCTTAAAGATTTATTTATATATTTGAGAGCACGAGAGAGACCACACACCCTTCACATCTTCCCTTTCCATGAGGGAAACGTATAGGAAGAACTTCCTATGACTCAACCGAGTAAAAGGTGAGGGGCAGAAGGAGAAAGAGAGTCTTTGAAGCAGATTCCATGCTGAGCACAGAGCCTGATGCAGGGCTCCCTCTCATGAACCTGAGATCACAACCTGAGCCGAAACCATGAGTCCCAACACTTAACTGCCTGCACCAACCAGGTGCCTCAGATTTTGCTATTTTTGTTAACCTGGGTCATTACAGATGTAATTGTGATTACAGATGACATCAAAATCTGTCCGGTTCGTATCGGTCAAGCCCTAGAATAATAATAATCCAACTCCAAGATATCTTTTAAAAGGCAGTGGCCAATGTAACCCTGAGAATCCAGCCAGCCCCAGCACACAGCCTTCATATGAAGGAGGGAAGGAATGGATTGTTCAACTTTAAAGACGCTGATTTTCAGAGAGAGATATTTCAGCATCTGTTCATTCAACTTGGTTTGTAAAAACAGAAGACAGATTTCCACTATCATTAAGACTGATGTATTTCTGTAGGCATGATTTCTTTTTAAGGGATGTAGATTTTGGGATCCCTGGGTGGCGCAGCGGTTTAGCGCCTGCCTTTGGCCCAGGGCGCGATCCTGGAGACCTGGGATCGAATCCCATGTCGGGCTCCTGGTGCATGGAGCCTGCTTCTCCCTCTGCCTATGTCTCTGCCCCTCTCTCTGCGACTATCATAAATAAATAAAAACTTAAAAAAATTTAAAAAAAGGGATGTAGATTTTATTGACTACTTCAGAGCTACTACAGGCCCTGTGCCTCTTTAGTCTGCTTATCAGACTTAACTATAGTGGACACACACCACACGATGCCCTTCCTTCACCCCAAGGTTACATTCTTACGTGTCTGTCTTTTTCTTTTCATCTTCCAAGGCTCTTAACGTGAGCTGCAGCCGGTCTGTGAGGATTTCCAGTTCTTGAGTCAGTTTGTATTCCTCTCTGAATTGCTCTCCCAAAAGAACGAGGTCACGCGTGGCATCGTGCAGGGGGATGTCGCTCAGATACAGACCTCTCCTTGTCAGATCATCCAGATTCATCACACTGTTACACAGGGAAGTGAGGCAAAAATCAGTGCCAGCTTGTCTACACGATAATCCCGAGCCCAGTAACTGTCAAGGAGTATAAGCCTGTCATCTCCTACCATTCCGTTCCTACCATTCAATAGGTCAGGCTAAAGACAAGAAAATTTGGAGAGTCACATGAAAAATATTACTTTATTCTTTTATGCATTTAAAAATCTATCAAATAGCATTGAATTCGACATAGGTATTGCCTATGCCATCAAAAATCACACTTTTTGATGCCATCATCCTAAACTGAAAGATAGGATAGAAACTTGTCCTGGGCAACCTGCGTAGGTCCGTAACACAAGGCTGTTATTCACTGCTATCACATTTTCCCCTCATTATAAATATAGAGATACAGAAAAAAAAATTTTATCCTCTGTAACGGATAATAGTGCTTCTTTTGAGAAACTAGTTTATTTTTGCCTTGTGGATTCTTTGACTTTTGTAACTGGTTACTTTCCCCTTTCAGACTAAAAGTGTACAATCAGATTTATGACCTTTCTTTCACATGTATTTTATGTATTTATAACTTTTTTTAAGAATAAGATTTTATTTATTTGAAAGAGATCCTGAGAGGGCACAAGCAGGGGGAGGGGCAAAGGGAAAGGGAGAAGCAGGCTCCCCGCTGCAAGGAGCCCAAGGCAGGGCTCCATCCCAGGACCCAGGGATCATGACCTGAGCTGAAGGCAGACACCTAATCAACTGAGCCACCCAGGTGCCTTGTATTTTTGACTTTTTGAAGTGTATTGTATTTGCTACTCTTCCTTCTGGTTCTAATTTCTTCTACTACTCTTGTTTTCATTAAAACTTTTCTCATTTTTCTTTTAAAGATTTTATTTATTTATTCATGAGAGACACAGAGAGAGAGAGGCAGAGACACAGGCAGAGAGAGAAACAGGGAGCCCGATGTGGGACTCGATCCCGGGTCTCCAGGATCACACCCTGAGCCAAAGGCAGATGCTCAACCGCTGAGCCACCCAGGTGTTCCACTTTTCTCATTTTTGAAACATTATTTAACCTTGCTAGATTTTATGTGCCTCTGTAACCTATTTTTTTTTACCTAAATTATTTTTAGAATAGCACACTAATATTTATTGATTCAGCAATAATCTGGTAAGTGATTGCTTTTTAAGTTTACCTTTTGGTTAAAATGTCCTAAGGTTATGTTATTGGTTTGGATTCTTTAAATACAAGGTAATTACTTCTGGGCATGTACAATAAGAATTTCTCTAAAATGACATAATGAGTTGTGACTTCACAGAAGAGTTTTGGATTGATAAAATGTCTCCTTGTTATACGTTCTCAGTAGAAATGTCCACAAATCAAAGCAAAAATTAGCATATCAATACTGAAAAATAAAATAATCAAAGAGTTTACTAATGAACCACTATGGTCTCTTTAGATTTTGTTAAAATGCATATGTACGTTACAGCTCACTTTCAGAATAGACCCATTTGAAAAGAGGCCAAGTCCTCCGCCACATGGTACACAAGACCTGCCCTTGAGCAGAGAAAAAAAAGATCATGAGCCGAAAATGAAAGTGGCTAAAAATACTGACACTGAGTTTAGGAAATAATCAAATTATGTCTCACTTTTTAAAAATGTTACTTATGATCTTAATGAACTATTAACATATTTTTTTCTAAAGTTAAACTACTCATTTTGAAATTATTTACATTACAGGTAAAACTGCTTTTAGGAGATGTCATTTTCATGTGAGTACAAATCTTTCTATACACGTGAACAGGTACCATAGGATAAACTGTGAGTGTGTCACTACGTGACCAATTTCCACGTATGGCAATGAACAAGAAGACTCCAAATTTTCTGCTTCTGCTTCTGCTTCCAAAGAGACCTTTATTTCTATGAATAGAAATGGTCCCTACTGAAAAGCTCTCCTTCCACTAAAGCTCAACTTGAAATGAGACAGAAGAAACAAACACTATTGACAGCACGTGAAAATATAGTCAGATCAGTGCAAGTGATGAATTGGAAAATACAGAGTTTGTTTATATTCTCTAATTTTGTCTCTTCTATTTTCATGATACATATTCTCAGAAAATATTGTCTTATAGTTTTTAATAGTGCATTAAAAGAAGTTGTTACAAGGTTTATTATGTTTTTCAGAAATTTTAAGTCACTATCTTTATTTTTCTATTTTTTTTTTAAGATTCTATTCATGAGGGACACACAGAGAGAGGCAGAGACATAGAGGGACAAGCAGGCTCCCTGCGGGGTCCTGAGGTGGGACTTGATCCCAGGGTCCTGGGATCACGCCCTGAGCTGAAGGCAGAGGCTCAACCATTGAGCCACCCAGGTGCTTCGAGGCATTATCTTTAAAGGAAAACTGATCATGGTTCATGGTGGACTTTAAATTTTTAGCCAAAAGCTCACCAAAACATGCTTTATGGAGTATGTTACTAAATAACATGCATGGCTTTCAGTTATACAAAGTTATAACTATACAAAATATCACCTAACAAGTTCCAGTTACCTTTTTCTATATTTCTAAGTAAATTTAGATATATTTTTGTTATTCTGAGTTCCCCTGTGTCCTTCAGTAAAGTGTTCTGTCAAATTAGAAAAAACAGCATCCTCCAGTTTTACTTCCCTCCGATGTTTATTATAAATAACATAATCTACAGAAATTTCAATGTAATAATATGTATTGAATGGTGAATCCAGATTAAAATAGCTAAATATGTGCAATATAAAATTGTTCAAATCCAGAAATAATTTTAAAAACTAATTTCTCGGTGCCAAATATCCATGTATCCATGACATCATAGTAGATGCTCTACGGAATTGCTTTCCTACGTGACACCTCTTTGGAAGGTATCAAACTATAGAATTAGCTACCTGCAGATTAGATTTTTCCATGATCTAACGGTATAAACACTTGCAAACTGATTCAGACAGGACAAATCAAGTAGAATACCTGATTTCTTCTGAGCTTATTACAAATGTCAAATGAAATTATCCTTGTTATAGAGAAGTGTATAGACATGGGCTGTAAAATCTAATTACACTTAGAACATGTAGACATGATTAAATAGAATGTTACTGAATTTCTCTGTGAGCTGAGGGTACTTCTAACCATTGTAATTAATCTAAAAATGATTACCTTGGTGAACACAGAAAAAGGATGCTATCTGCTTCAGGTAAGTAGATCATCTGACCCTTGAGACGTAAGCAGCTGATCTCAGTTCCAGTCAGCTCATCCTCACATTCTAATTTCTCTACGTCCAACAATCCTTCCTTGAAAAGGCAAGACATAACCGTTAACTAGTACCTTTCTCCCTACCTAGCAATTCAACAACAAAAAAAAAAAAAAAACAAGGACACAAGGGCTTCCTTTCCCACCAAACCGTAAGGGAGGATAAATGCACCAAGAAGATCAGGAAAAGCATTTCACCAAAATGCTAATGGGTCATAAGCAAAGTAGCTTCTGAACCCAGAAAGACGAGAGCCATACTACTGTTTGCATATTGGTTTAAAGCCTCCAGGAATCTTATTTCTGATTTTCTAGTATGGCTGGAATATCTAATACTAATTTCTATGGAAAAATAAACCAAGCATCTCCATTCCCCACGCCTGCATTCACAGAACAGTGGGGAGTGGCTTCAAACACATAATGTATGTGTTGGTAAGACCTTTGCGAGGGCTGCAAGGAGGACAACAGGTGTACTCTAGGACACTTCTGCTGTCTCAGTCAAAAGAACAGCAAGTCTGAGGTCTGGGGACTACCTAAGTAATCAACTAAATGAATATTTTATCACTTTTATTCTCCCACAAAAATGACATTCAGAATAACAGACAGTTTATGGAAGAATTAAATTAGGGTTTCGGTTGGAGTTAAAAAAAATTTCTTTATCAGTTCTGATTTCTAAAACAGCAGGTGGTAGCTTTAGGGAGTAAAAAATGTTTGTTTTATTATGTGAAACTGAGCCGTCCCAGTAAGACGGTCTCAAAACTTATTTTTGTTAATTATGATCAGTTGCTAGGAGTTCCACTGCCCCTCAGGCAAATAAGAAACTACTAGCATTGCCTTTGAACTAGGGCTCCCTCTGAGGTTTCAGTTGGGATCTGTCTACACCTTCTCCATATCATAGAATGGTGGACTACCTAACTTTCCCACAGGGATGCTTCTAAGTAACCTTCCTGACTCACATTGAAAGGAATAATATCTTGATTACCTTGCTTCTCAATACGAAAACCGTATTGATGTGTGAAAGGATCCCATGGAAACTAATGTCGATATGAGGACGGACGAGAGAGAAGACAGACAATAGGCTGCAGTTCCCAGGCTGGAGCTACAATGCCAATGAAAGGAGAGAACATGTGATTAGCCAAAATAATTCTTAGGATTTGAGGTTAGATTCAGCTGACTCAAGAAGACTTAAAAATAGAAAAGTGTCATTTGGTAGGGCAATTGCCTCAACCATGGACTCCTACTTGACCCATGTCGCTCAGTGATGCAATGGGTGTCCCATGCTTCATGAACACAAAACCTAATATGGTCTCAGAGTATTCACACATTCAAGTATAAGCTAATGTAAGTAAGGGAAGCATTTTCAAAGAAGAAAGAATAGAAATTGATCCTTTTTTTAAAAGATTTATTTATTCATGATAGAGAGAGAGAGAGAGAGAGAGGCAGAGACACAGGCAGAGGGAGAAGCAGGCTCCATGCAGGGAGCCCGACGCGGGACTCGATCCCAGGACTCCAGGACCGTGCCTGGGGCCAAAGGCAGGCGCCAAACCGCTGAGCCACCCAGGGATCCCCAGAAATTGATCTTTTACAAATGTAGTATGAGGTATCTCAAATGCCTGTGGCTTAAAATGAGATTTAAATAGCAAAACCACCAGCAAACACTCATAGTTTGTTAAGAGACGACTAATAATAATAACAGGTAACAGTTAATAATTGCTTAGACACTGGACTGAATATTCTTTATGCACTCTGTATGCTCACATTGTAATACAGGGAAAATAGGCCAAGAAAGACGAAGTAAGGTGCTCATGGTCATATAATGAGAGAGAGGCAGAGCCAGCAGAGGAGGCACGCTGTACCCTACCCTGCTTCTGGATGTAGAGGTTTACAACAGAGCCCTTCCAGGCAAATGCTCAATGAATAAGTCTCTTTAACTACAAGTGGAAAGTATCTCAAAATGTGTTGAGTACTAGTTCAAAAGTTGGCAGGCAAGGGGAAAAGTAGAAAGGATTTTCCAAATGGGTTTGGATAATGCAAGTCAAATGTAGCTCATCATCAACCCAAATGTTGTCCTTTGATGCTTTGTCTGCTCAACCCCCTGAGAATCTATCATTTACCTCTTTAGTGTTTGTAAAATTCCCTTCCTTTCCCTGAAAATGTCAATGGCTGACTTTGGAAGCTATTCCAATCAGCATATAATGAATGAATGAATGAATGAATGAATAAGTGAAAGATGCTTATTACTAGAAAATCACCCATGTTTTCATTTAAAAAAAAAAAACAGCATTCCCACTTAGTTTTCCATCCTGTAAGTGACTAAAACAAAAATAAACAAATAAATAAATAGCCAGCCGTCCTAGGGAAAGTTGTAGTATGTTCAAATATATGTAACTCACTTTTGAAGAATTCATGTGATATATATGATGCACATTACCTAATACACAGTCAATGTGTTGAATGAATAAATGGCCATTTTTTTGGTAACAATATCCCCCCATGGCCTTTAGTTTCAGGCCTCAGGAAAGTGCGAGGTCATTTTACCTGGGGAAGCACTCTGTATATAGCGTTGCCACACTGAGTAACCACTAGGTCTCGGTCAAATATTATGTGAAAAGGAAAAGCTTTGCAGAAGGTATATGGGCTGATGCGTGATTCCTGGGTACCATTTTCTTCAAATCTATCAAGATCTTCATAAAAATCTTCTTCTTTTGACTCTTTTTCCTCAATTAGAAATTGAGTATGATCACATTCTTCATTTCTTTGCTGAATAACCTGGATTTCAAAGGGGGAGATGGTGTTGATTGTTTGCACTTCAGTTTGGTTAAGATACCTAAATACCTAAGAAACTGGGTATGAGAATTGCATTTAGAGGGTTAATTTAAAAATAGGAATATATGCAAATACTATGCATGCCTTGGACATTGTCTTATGCAGTTTGAAGACTGAATAATTATTTATAATAAAATTGCAAACCTAGTATCAGTCCCTTAGTAGCCCAGATGGCCTCTTGGGTAGAATTAGAAAAGTACCCTCTTGTCTGGGTAGGCTTAGCCTACTCAGCCAGGTACACTTGTGCAGTGAGTGACCTATAAAGCATACAAAGTGGCTCTATTTAATATGATAAAAAATGAATATTCACAGAGGGAAATGAAATAATAGAGACATATATTTTAAAATACATTCAATATCAGACTGCCTAAATGGCTCAATTGGTTTAAGTGCCTGACTCCTGATTTAGGCTCAAGTAATCATCTCTGGGTCATGAAATCAAGCCTTATGTTGGGCTCCAAGCTCAGCGAGGAGTCTGCTTGAGATTTTCTCTTCTTTGCCCTCTGCCCCCCCTTCACTAAACAAACAAATAAATAAAATCTTAAAAAAAAATACATGCACTGTCACTTTTATCCATCAAATGGCAATCTTAAAAAATACCAAATTGGGTAAAACACAGAAAAAGAGTCATCTCAAATACCACTAGTGTGAGGGGATCTTGATTAAACTTGCTGATTGTTAGGTTATTAGATTGATAATATACTAGTAACCTTTAAAAAGTTACATATACTTTGGTTTAATTACAAATCTAGGAACTCATCTAAGGAAGTAATCATAATACTGGGTTAAAGCTCTATAATTTAAAGAAATAACTACATTTCTAAAATACTCTAAATAATATATACAATAAATATAGAATACTACAAATAAATATTTATTATATACATATAAGTAAAACATTTCTAAAATATTATTCATAGGCAAATACATTACTAAGATATAGAAAAGATGTTTTTTCTTTTGATTTCAAGAAACTACAAGCAACACATCTTCTTAGAAAGGGAAGTACTATATCTCAACTGTGGGCCAAATCCAAATGGAAGTAGTTGGGGCAATAGTTCCTCAGTTAAAGCTAAATGAAAGCAGAATATTGCTCTTTCTCACTTTTTTTGTTTGTTCAGGAGTTCACTGCAGCACACCTTGAGAGTGCGGAACAAATCACAGTTAACACGGATGCTATTATATATATTCTTTCAAAAACGGTTTCCTGATGGAATTAGGGTATTACTACCATCAGTGTCATACTAATCTACTACACTGGCTAAATAGTATTCTTATTTATGATTTAAACATTGTGCCCCACTAAGGCTGATTTCTCTAAAGTTTCATCAACAAAATAAGGTCAATCTTAAAATTCAAGCCTAATTTTGATGTTCTGCTCCGATTTTAGCTATAGGAACTGAATTATATGCAACTTAAATTTACTATTTAATTCCTCAATTCTGCTCTTTTGCTTTGATTAAAATGTCAAAATGAACTGCTCTCTGATCATATTTTTAATCTCTTCTTGGTATATTACTTCTTTACCTGGTATAATATTCCTTAAGTAGTTAAATTGTCTGGCAGCTCTGGACCTGTTAAACTTACAGATCCAACTTAAGAATACTTAAGGAAATTAAAACAGTATCTTTGACAAAAATTAAATATATAAAACATAACTAAAATGAAAATATTTCAGAATTCGTAATGGAGTACTTGAATAAATAGAGACCACAAGGCAACTTAAATATTGTATAAAGTAAACCATGTAATTAAGCAAAAACTTGAATTTTATATAGAGTGTGCTAATGGCTGTCAACCTTCCATGACAAATACATTAATAACCATAGCAACTGCAGTATCTAAGTATGCCCTAATTTGAGTTTGTTTCCTAAAGTGTCTATGCACTTGTCTCTTGCTCAACATGCCTAAATAAAAAAATAAAACCAAGAGTAGATAGACACAGTGTGCAGATAGCCCCTCATAAAGGCTCACTTAGTATAGATGTAGTGTTAGTTTGGTGTCATGATCAAAGATCAGAAATGAAAGGCATATAATAGTTCGACTATTAAATTCCAGTGAGATTCCTAATCGTGGATAAATTTTGATTCTTTACTGAAGGTTTTAATTTAACTTTAAAATGTCTCTGGATTTGTTAATGCCAAGTTACATAGAATCCCACTTTGTAGTTGTAGAAAAACTAAGGTTGCACCTGGGAATCACCAACAAGTGCCACAGAAAGTATTGACATCAACTCCTGAAAAGAAAGAAAACCACAAAACCTAACATGACATTACTAGATCAAATATATGGGATGCTTTCCCAATATAATCAATTTAAATGTTACAATTTTTATTTGCCATAATGCTGTACTTAAAGTTTGGGCTTTCCTTTGTTTTTCTTAAGATTTTATTTATTTATTCATGAGAGACACAGAGAGAGAGGCAGAGACATAGGCAGAGGGAGAAGTAGGCTAGGCTCCTTGTGGGGAACCCAATGCAGGACTCGATCCCGGGATCATGACTTGAGCCAAATACAGACGCTGAACCACTGAGCCACCCAAGTGCACCAAAGTTTGGGCTTTCCATATGTGCTAGAACATAACTTTGATGCCTAAGAAATATCCACAAAGAAAAAAAAGCTGAAATAAGATATCCCTCTCGCTAATTTTCTCAGACTCAGGGCCACTGAAAAATGGCTCTTGAGGCCGAACATGTTGAGTGCACAACAAACAGCTGACCAGGAGAGACTACGTGGGTTACAAAGAGTAAAACGATGGTTCTCTTTATTGCCTGGCTGTCGTAACAGTACTCTGATATCACTCAGAGCTAAGAGCAAGTGTTATCGAGAGCAACACAACTTTTAAAGTATGAAACCTGGTTTCTTTCACCTAGTAATCTTATTAAAAAAAAAAAAAGCAAAATGTTTAGGTCACAAAGTGAGAGATTCCAACTATATTTTGGGGACAGGCAAAAAAATCTACAAAGAAATAATGAACAGCAAAACAATATCTAAGTTTATATTATCTTAGAATCTGACTACCCACATAATGAGGTTTTTTGTATTCTGGAGGCTACAACCTAGCCAGTTACATATCCTTTTGCTCCCCAGTTCTTGTGTGCTCACAGGAGATGCAAACTAGATTTCATGTGACCTTATGGAAAGGTAGAGGGGAGGGTGAAAGGCGTGGCAGTGGGTGCTACTGGAGTGAGGCAGGTGGAAATATCCATGGAAATAATGACAGTCGCGAGGGGAGTGAGCGAGGAGGAGTGAAGGAATATAGCGTCGTGAAGATCTGTTTTGGTGGAGTGCTTAGTTTAACACGATGATGAGCAATATATAAGCAGTGTGTGTAAGTTTGAGTTATATGTATAAGAGTTGCATTGTTGAGATGGATTTGATACTAGGTATGTTGGTTTAGAAGATGTGGCGCCAGTATACTGTCCAGTGGTGAGGCGCGATGGTAATTTAGATTAGGGAATGGAATGTGGGTGAGACTAGATATGGTTGTTTGTAATGTATTTTAAGAAGACAAAGAAGAGATTTTGGATGTTTGTGGAAGGTAAATGGTATATGAAGATAATTGTATTTATTAGATGTGAAGTTGGTATTTGATGGTTAAATTTGAATTGTTTTGTGTTGTTTTAGTGAGTAAAATGATGAGTTGTATGTTTTATTGTTTTGATTAATTAGTGGTAAGTTGTAGTGTGTAGAATTATAGATAAAGATAATTTTATTTAGTTGTTTAATTTTTATTTGATTTGTGTGTTGTTTTTTTGATGGATTTTTGTTATTTTTTTTTTTTGTTAGTTAAAAGGTTTATATGAAGGATATTTTGGATGAGCACTGGGTGTTATGATTTATGTTGGCAAATTGAACTCCAATAAAAAATATTTTAAAAAGAAAAAAAGAAAAATAATCTGAGGCTATATTAACAGTTAATATATTTTAAAGAAGGATAAATAAACAAGTGGGATGTAAAAAGAATGACTGAAGCAAGAAAAACATAATTATGGGCTAAAGCAAAGATATGCATATTTATAGGAGTTTGGAAAAGGTATATATATGCATGTTACGTTAGAAAAATATGAATGCCTAAAGTGATCACATATTACCCTCTGTTTACAATCCTAACAATTATTAATTCAAAACATTGTATCAGTGATAAACATACGAAAACATAAGCATATTATTTTGTGAGGTAATGTTTTAGGACTGAAAACCTTTTTATAAATTAAAGTAGCAGGATTGTTTCATATTTATTAGTAGCCGCCAATCAAGATACAGCTCCACAGCTGACATGTGAAATGATTATCTTTTGGAACCAAATCTTGGAAAACTAATAAATTTACCAATAAATATTTTCTGTACTTGTAGTTTTGTCATTAACGCAGAACATACCAAACTTTCCAGCATCCTGCATTACTCACTAATACACAAAACTTATTTGTATAAAGATCACCAGGAAAAATGGTGCAAACGATGTGTTTCATTTGGTCCAACATGGTTTTTCAAATAATAGCTCATAATGTGTTAGCGGGTGTGTGTTACACATATGCGCAGGATACACACAGCACAGCACGGTATATGAATGAAGAGTGAAGTAGCTTTAGAATTAAGCCGACTTTGATTTAAAACATGACATTGTCCTGAGCCCTGTAACAGCATGGAACTGAGCTGTCAACACCTGAATGAGCATGGGAGCAATTATCCCCTAGAGACTACATAAAGGAACATAGTCTTGCTGGCACCTTCATTATAGTCTGGAAAGACCTTAATGGACTTTGATCTAAAAAAAAAAAAATAAGATAATAAATCTGTGTTGTTCAAGGCACTTACATCTGTGGTAATTTGTTATGGTAGCAATAAAAGCTAATACGCCAAGCAAATAGTAATCTATCAATAACTGGTGATTATCACTAAAAACAAATGGATAAAATGGTTTCAGAATGCAATAGCATAAA